TATGTAATTATACTTGCTGGCAAAATCCGGACAAATCCCAAATTCAAAAAAAAATAATTGCTATTTGTAAATGATTAAATCAAAAAAGTAGTTCAAAAATTTTGTAAATATATTATTTATAGCAATAAAAATATCTACTAATTGTTTAAACAAAAATTATGTATATATGTCATTGCGTTCATGCAGTGTGTTACATTCTTGCTGTATAAGGAAAATTACTAACAGAATTTCATAATCTATGCTGTTACTTTACAGGGATCGACTGAAAATTTTCTCGTAAAATCCAAGAAGGAAATTTTTAACCCGCATTTTTATGTGAATGATAGATGCAAAATATGATATAATCTCTTACGATTTGTAATGTAACAAAATGGTAGGGGTAGGAGTTAGTACTGGTAAATTATAGAAATGATCGAATTAAATTCTGATATATCAGGTTATATTTTTATATTTTTATTTTATTAACATGAAATTAAAATTTATTATATATAATTAAAACTGAAACGAAAATGCATCCAGAAATAGCGTACCAGGCATTATTACTATAAGCATTTTCATCAATTTGGCTATTAACGATAAATTATGGTGCCCCAGTTCCACCTGGTGAATTAATTAGTTTCACCTGCAACTCTAGTCTAAATGCATTACTTAAATGCATAAAAACATCTATGATATTTAGTATAAATATTATCACTGTTCTTTATTAATTTCTTGGTATAAGTGTAATCCATGAATTCCGAAGGTCATTTATGGAATCATAGGTTGAAAGTTAGTAAATTTAAAAATAAATTCGTGAGCATTACCATCACACAGTATCAATTATAAATGTAAATTTTTGCTAATTCAAGTAATACAATATGAACTTTTTATCAAATGACAAGATTTGTTTATTATGCGTATGTTGAGCTATTTGTCATTTCTTTGTATATAATTTAAAAAATAATATTGTTATGATAAATAATTTAAAGAAGTAGCGTGCAGTTCTTGCAAAATGAATCTAGCAATGCTTTTCTTTCTCCTGATCCAAGATTATTCCTTCTGATCCAAGATTATTCCTTTCAAGATTCAAAAAAATCAGCGTCGTGTTCTTGCAAAGTGCCTCCGCAAATGCCTTTCCTCCTTCTGGCCCAATATAATTATTATAAAGATCCAAAGAAGTTAGCACGGTATTCTTACAAAGCGCATCAGCTAATGCTTTTCCTCCCTCTGGTCCAAGGTTATTTTCTTCAAGTCTCAAAGAAGTCAATGTGGTGTTCTTGCAAAGTGCATCCGCAAATGCCTTTCCTCCTTCTGGCCCAATATAATTTTTATAAAGATCCAAAGACGTTAGCACGGTATTCTTACAAAGCGCATCAGCTAATGCTTTTCCTCCCTTTGGTCCAAGATTATTTTCTTCAAGATTCAGAGAAGTCAGCGTGGCATTTTTGCAAAGTGCATCTGCTAATGCATTTCCTCCTTCTGATCCAATATTATTATTTACAAGATTCAAAGCAGTTAGCGCGGTATTCTTGCAAAGTGCATCAGCTAATGCTCTTCCTCCTTCTGGTCCAATATTATTACAATATAAATTCAGAGAAGTCAAGGTGGTGTTCTTGCAAAGTGCATCTGCTAGTGCTTTTCCTTCTTCTGATCCAAGACTATTATTTTCAAGCTTCAGAGAAGTCAGCGTGGTGTTCTCACAAAGTGCATTAGCCAATGCTTTTCCTCCGCTTGATCCAAGATTATTCTGACTAAGATCCAAAGAAGTCAGCGTAGTATTCTTGAAAAGGGCATTTGCCAATGCTTTTCCGCCATTTGGTCCAAGATAATTATAACTAAGATTCAAAGAGGTCAGCGCAGTGTTCTTGCAAAGTGAATTAGCCAATGCTTTTCCTTCTTCTGGTCCAAGGCTATTACCATAAAGGTTCAAAAAAGTCAGAGTGGAGTTCTTGCAAAGTGCATCAGCTAAAGCTTTTCCTTCAACTAATCCAATATTATTACCACTAAAATCCAAAGAAGTCAAAATAGAATTTTTATAAAGGATTTTCGTTACTACATCTATTGTTTTAAATTTAAGATCGAAACTAGTTTTAAATAATTCCATAGAGGTAATAGTTGTTCTCTCATAAAGATTTTCAAATATCAATTGATTGCAAATAATTTCATAAAGGCTTAAATGTTTAAGATTTTTACTAGTTCGTAGAAACATCAAAATCAAAGAGCATTTAACGGCATTTTCAAGATTATATCCTGATTTATATCTTCCATCAAGAAGCCAGTTTCTAATACCATCATACAAATAATTGTTAACGGATGTGATATAACTTGTATATTCAAATAATGGTTTTGGGTGACTTGGAATGGTGATTTTAAAAGGAATTAATAGAGTTTGTTCTTGAGTATTTAACGTTAAAAGAAATAATTTTATAAGTCTTTTATCTCTAAAATGGTGTTTCGGTTCGCTCACAATATTGGGATAATGATTCTACACCATTGACGGTTTACAAGAGCACAATAAAATAAATTTTTATAATTAGACCGAAGGTTATTAAATATTGAGAAGTAACATTCATTCGGTAAAGTTATCATATTGAAAAGTCCGCAGTATATGTTCACAGTTTGAGAAGAGTTTTGAGAAATGTTTGCGTTATACAAAATTTAATTCCAAATTTAAATAAGTTTTTCGTACAACTAAGGTCATACGTATGCCTGAATTCAATTCAAATTAAATTGACGATCTATGTAAAATAAATACTTATCCTAAATTTACCACTCAAACACCATTGCGAAGTTGTTGATTTCCTAAATCTTCCTATGTTATGTACACAACCAAGAATCGACTAAGGGTATTTATTGTTATACATCTCAACTCGTAGAGCGATAAGGAATCTGATTGACTAAAATTATCTGATGAACAAAATACAACCCATTTTTTTTATCATTGTAAAGGGATGCTAAAGCATTACATTAAATTCTTTAACATATCAAATATAATAAATAATAATTCTCAAAAATTAGTTATTTTAAAACAACTTTCGTTAATGATTCAAAAATTTGTTCTGTTGCTGTTGCAACAAACGATTTAAATTGGTAAAATTATTAAAAGCGAAGCCAACGCAACTAAATTGAAGCTTTGATGACTTGCTGAATTGAATAATTTTTTATGAAAATTTTTAAGTGGTTAACAATGATTACGTACAATAGAAAGAGTACACTCAAGCATTGATTTTAGGGGGGAAATTACATTAAGGGCCCGAAATATGAAAATAATTACATATAAAGGCCCAAAATTTGAAAAATATTACAATTAAAGATCAAAATTTAACTATTGTAAGTTTTTAACGTTAAATATAATTTTTCATTGGCTGGATAAACATATTCTTTTTTAACCAGTGGTTCATTTATTCTCTTATCATAACTATTTTTGTAAATTTCTAAAAGTAATTTAACTTATGAATACAAATGAATTTTTCAGTTCTAAATATCTTCAAATAATGCATAGTAACATTTACAAAATATGATTCATGTTTTACAGTATAACTAGTCTTGTTATAGGATAGAAATATTAGTTTAGAATTGAACAAGCATTGCACTATGGTCGCTGGAGTGGTAAGTCTTGTAATAGAATTTTTACAGTATCCTATATTGAAATCATGAAATTTCTAATATAAGCTACTCAGCCTAATTACATTATCGTTACTGAAATGGTTAATAAGTTTTGTAACAGAGTTTTTTACAAAAAATTATGATATTGTTAACCACATATCGCGGTCACTGGAGTAAAAAGTTTAGCGACAGAATTTTTAACAATAATTAATAGTAGAAATTGTAACAATTTCAATACAAGCAAACTCAATCTTAACCAGTGTGTTTGTAGTATTAACGAGTAAGTTCTGTAACAAAATTTATTTTTTAATAAATAGGAATTACAATAATTCTAATAGATCCTAATCATATATTGTATGGTTGTTGAATTCTGTATAAGATAGGTGGCGCGAAGCTGCGTATTAAGGGACATTCAATCAAAAGCACGGATTTGTGCAGAAACACTTCACACGGCATATAACCATACACTTCGTTGCACTCCGTTTCTGGTAAAATCATTCAATTGATCATTAACTTTACTAAAACACACATAGTAAAATTATAATATGCCTGGCATTGTTTTGATTACTTAGTTGATTTATCACCCTAGTATAATACTGTAATAAACTCAACTTGTAACCCTTGTAACCAACTCTCAGCAATCATACTTTAATAACCTGTTGTGACGACCGATCTACTGCGGCTCAGTAAGACCATGATTACGGGGTCAAATGCAATTTATCACATTTTTTGCATTTATCGAATTTATTGAATATATGGCATTTATTGAATTTGTTAGATAAATTAGATTTATTGCATAAATTACATTTATGCTATTTGTGAGTCTTTTATTATAAATAAAGGCCGTGTAAGTTTCGTGCTGCTTACGTCTATCGTCCCTAATAAAGAATACCTCTCATACACCCTTTAGGTACTCAAATAATACACCTTAATAAATACTCAAACCCCAGATTTATCACTAAGTGCATAATGAAAGGTCTTCGTTCGTATAATTGTCTTGCTCACGTGACTTCGTACACCCTCAACCACAACCTTTCTGCAATAGAACCTTTCGTGACGCCTCCCAACGTACCGTGGATAGTTGTGGTTGTTTTTTATTCTGGTTTGAGGTCTAAGCGGAAGATCCAAGCTATAGTTTTGTTGTGTCAATTGTGGACAAAGAGTATAGACATAATTGTGTAATAATTGGTATCATATATAAGCGCAAGTAATAGCCGCCTCTTTCCGTGTAGGTTACACGACGTCACAGATTGTGCCACATTATAGGTATCACTGTACTAACAAGTATAAAGCTAAATTTAAACAAAAGTACCTATAACTCGTTACAGTATCATACAAAACCTTAAATAGAAAGTTCTTTGTTCTTACACTCTTAAACCTTATGCACGATTATTGAATAATTAACGCTTAACAGAATGAAAACCCTTCTATATTCATGGTCTAGCGCTGAAATTTGGCAACAGGAATTAAGAAGTATCTTAGACCGTGACAACATAGAAGACAAAAAAAATAAAAAATTATAAAACAATGTCATATGCTTTTGTAAAAAAAGCATGGAGGAAATGAAGATCGAAACGTACTTGTAGAAAGAGAAAGCGGCACAAAAAACCAAAACAATTAGGTTAACAAAACTCTAGGATGATTGTTTAGGGAAAAATTTTTTTAAAAAAATTGGGTCGTTGGGTTATACAAAACAAAAAAAAAGCTCTTGAATTTTTTAAGGTAAATATTTATTTTATTTTATTTATTTTTTTTGTTCTAATTTTCAATATTTACTTAAACTTTTTTTTTATTTAGTATATTGATACAGTATATGTACCAAAAGTTATCGAGACTTTCAAAATTTTTTAGAGCCATAGCATAATCCTGAAAATTCGCTTCAACGGTGAGGTCTTTCTTATAATAAATGCGGATCGAAAATAGAGGTCAAGAAGATGTCATAAGACAAAGTCATATGCTTTCATAAAAAGACAAGAAGCACTGGAACAACTAGACCGTAAAGCATTCATAGAGGAAAAATGTGATCAAAAACGTTCTTGTAGAAATGAAGCTTGAATATGAGAGAGAACCACGAAGAAAAAATGAAAACAATTAGAAGAACGAAAAAAAAGAGTCGGTTTAATAAAGATGAATACATATTTTAATAAATTTAAAAGGTTTGATTTAATTTCAGAGTAATTTTTTCGAATTACGAATGGGTTTAATGTATAATAATATGCAATCTTAGAGTAGGTTAGGTCTGGGATTACATTTATTTTTTTATTAAAAAATTGTTTAGCAATTTATATTTAATAAATATTAACATATATGCTTTAATAAAATGTATTTGCTAAAACATTTTCTTTTGATTCTATTAAATAAAAAAACCCCCGATTTAATAATTTTAATTATTATTTATATCAACTTTTCATAATATGATATTTTGTAAGTAATTTGCATTGTATCATAGGATCCATAGCTTTAAAAAGTTTTGAAATTTATTATAGTAAGCTTCATCCTCTCGTAACTTTCAGATTTAGGGAGCCAAAAGTTCGACTTCTTAAAGTTGGAAAAGATTTGGTGTTAAAAAAAGATTCATTGTGCATTAAACGGAATGAGAAAGGCTATTCATAATCTATTGTTGAACATAAGAAATTGTCAAACTAACTCTCTTACAAATGCCTAAAAAGATCAAAAGTAATCAGAATTCGTCGATGCAATTTTTTTTTAATAAACATAAATTTATAACATGCTAATAGGCAAAAAAAAAAATTTTGATGTTATATGGTCTATAAACGCAAAAGCTATTACATTGCAAATATTCACGTAAAATAATTCAATGATTTATAAGTTATAAAATTTTTATTGATCAAGATCGTAATGAACCAACATCATTATTATTATAAGTACCGGAGAATTGCCATACATAGTTTCCTCAATGGATTCTAGTTTGTTAATTAAAAGGTTTCTCAATCAATGAATCGAAATGTGTCAGGAAATTAAATTAAATTTTAAGCAGTTTTAACTGATTGAAGGCACATTTCATTAACTATTTGGATCAATAATTCTTACGTATTCACTTTTGAGAAAAGTACATATAAGAGGAAATTATGTTTCACAGGTTTGGAAGCATTTTGTATTATAGTCTATTGACTTTTAATGGGGCGGAATTGGATGGGAATGTTAATAAAAGCTAAATAATTAATTGAATCTCTTATACCAAAACTTTACAAACTAAAACTAATATCATACGCTATTCAGTCTTGACTTCATTTTTACAAGTGTTTTGGCTTTAAGTTTATAATATGATTTCTGGTTTTTTTTTTTTTTATCAAATGCTTTACCAAACTGATCGATAAAAACCAAAATCAACCATCTAACAAAAAGTATTTGATAATGTTAACATTAATGGACTTGTAATGTTAATTTGTACATAAAGACATTGGTATTTTTACTATTTTTACTAAAAATAACGACAAAAATCATACAATATTATTAAAATTTATTTCTTCTGAAAGTTTTATAAATTGCTCATGAGGATTTTATTTGTCTCATTTTATTGCATCTTAATTTTATTTTGAATCAAAAGTGAAAAAGCATAATCTTATTCAATTAAAAAAATTTTGATCGATCATGTACTGTACATCAGTGATGATTTAAAAATAAATGACATCTTGTCATATGACAAACCATTTTGTCATAAAAAAATTATTATGATTTTCCAATATTCAAAAAAAAAAAAACTCAGCGAGTAACTCCCTACCAATCATCTTCTTTTCACAAATCTTTACGATCTCAAGTTTTAATGAACTTGCAAAAACTTCTTCGGTGTCATATACTTCTAATTCATTAATTATTCGAGAAATATCTAAAGATTAATATGCATATTGCTTTCTTCTTCAACATCCATAAGCTTTTCATAAACTATGTTTAATCTCTTCGGATTTTACAGCATTTTCTTTTTGCTGACAAATATCACTTAAAATTTGGTTTTCATATTTTCTTTTTTCGGCTTTCATTTATACGGTTTGAACACTCAAAACATGTTTTTTGATTACTTTGAAATGCAATAATAGGTTTTATTGTTCGAAAAAATGAACAAAGTTTTGGATTTTCCATTTTACGATATCAAAAAAAAAATTTTCAACATAAATAGTTACGTATAATAATTGATACGACATTTTATTAATAATAATAATAATATTATTATTATTATTAATGCTAAATTTAATGCCGGAAAATAAATTTAAAACCCGATTACGTACGTACGTCCTGTGACTATCGGTATCAATTTTTTGGTAATTATTTTTAAATCCAGTTATTAAATTGGGTTGGGTTCAAAAATAATTACAGTACATATTTACATATTATAATATATTATTATTACCGTAAGCCTCGGAAAATAAGCACAGTACCCTCTACCCTATTTTTTTCAATTTCAGATAACGGAATAATTTGAGTAAAGATTTTATTACTATTTCCGCTAATCTGAAATTGAAAAAATAGGGTAGAGGGTACTGTGCTTATTTTCCGAGGTTTACGGTATTAATCAATTTACATATTATAATATATTATTATTGACTTTTACTAAAACGCACCTATGATGTTCAGGGCCCCCAAAAACCTCACGAGAACTGAGATCGGGCCCTTATATTAGCTCTATATTATATTATATAAAAAAAATAATAATTCTTAATTTTCTAACCCTAACCCTAATTTTACTAGAAGCAATTATATATAGGTGCTAAAACACCATAGGTGCGTTTTATAATGATCTTATTATTAATCAATAACATCTCTTAGTGATTTGCACTATTCCATTCTTGTATTTTGTTAACAGATTTTTTACATATAATTAACTATCGCAATAGAACAGATCATGAACATGAATCATGCGCAATGTCCAGATATAGAAGTAAGCGTTACACATTCCCTATGAAGGTACAACGTGTGAAATCTTGATATGCTTTGCTTCGCCATATGCATTTGCCCAATAAAGAGCAAGATTTAGCGTACGAACATCATTTAGTTTGCAATATAACCATACACTCCGTGAAATTTTCAATATCCCTCCGTTCCTGGTACGCACAAACTTTGTTTTTCGACAAAGATTAGTACATACAAAAACTATGACAAACAAATCAGAGGAATGGCTTGAAAAAGCTATTTCCGAAGGGCACATTGATTATATTGAATATAATAAATTTACAGACCCTATTGAGATCGGCACTGGAGGTTTTGGAAGGATTCTTAAATATGAGTGGAGAGATAACGAACTAACAGTTACTCTTAAATGTCTTAAAGTTGAAACTAGCATCGATGAAAAAATCATTAAGGATTTTATTGATGAGGTATTAACTTCTTATATTAAATCCCAATTGTGTTCTACCCTATATTAAAACATTCTTATACTTCATATAATTAGCTTAAACTATTACGAAGGGTTTCGTGCCATCAAAATGTTATTACATTCTATGGAGTTACAAAAGGTAGGTAAACGATTTATAATTATTAAGGTTATCAAATATTTCAAATAATGATGTGGTAAAACAAAAAAATATATCCATCAAATTGAAATATATAGGTAGCTACGGACATTATAATATGATTTTAGAATATGCTACTGAAGGAACTTTACGAAAATACCTAAAAACAAATTTTACAAGATTACAATGGGCCGATAAATATATATTGCTAAGGAAATAGCATCTGGACTTTTATTTTTACATAATAAAGATATTATCCATAGAGATTTTGTAAGTATTTTATATTTTTCTGTTTTTACATTTATCAAATTACTAATACTTTACTTTAATAACTTAGCATTCGAATAATATCTTAATTCATGAAAACAAGCCAAAGATCACAGATTTGGTTTATCGAAGCAAATAAATGAAATGTCTAAGGCTAAAACCGCTTATGGAATGCCAGCATATGTCGACCCCAAATACCTTGATGATCCAAATTATAAACGTAATAAGAAATCTGATGTTTATAGCTTTGGAGTAATACTTTGGGAAATTTCAAGCGGAAGACCACCATTCCCATCCTTTGATTCAGTATTTAGACTTGCCTTTCATATTTTAAGAGGAAACAGAGAAAAGCCTATAGAAGGTACACCAACTCAATATATTGAACTTTACACGAAATGTTGGGACAGCGATCCTGCTAATCGTCCAGAATCGAGAATAATTCTCAATACTTTAAACCAATTTCTTCCTGGCACTCTTGAGAATTTGAGAAAGGGAGCACGCGAATGTTTTGAGCAATGTAAATTTCTCGAAGCATTAGAACTTTTTGAAGAAATTCTCAAAAACGGTCAACATAATTCCAAAGATCAAGAAAATGCTTCAACCTGGGACCTTTCTAATTATAGATGTAGTGGTTTGGAGAAAATAGACGAGTTAATAAAGGCACTTCGCAAGAACTCCACGCTGACTTCTTTGAATCTTAGCAAAAATGATCTTGGATCCAACAACAACAATAGTTTTTAACTGGTTTTTTCAAGCGATCGATAGGGAAAGTATTAGCAGATGTACTTTGCAAAAACACCTCTTTAACAACGTTAGACCTCACTATTAATAATCTTGGATCAGAAGATGGAAAAGCATTAGCTGATACACTTTGCAAGAACATCTCCTTAACAATGTTAAATCTAAGCGATAATAATCTTGAATCTGAAGGAGGGAAAGCATTAGCAGATGCACTTTGCAAGAACTCCTCCTTAACGTCTTTGGATATTTCTCAGAATGATCTTGGATCAGAAGGTGGAAAAGTATTAGCTGATGCACTTTGCAAGAACTCCTCCTTAACAACGTTAAATCTCAATAGTAATTATCTTGGATCCGAAGGTGGAAAAGTATTAGCTGATGCACTTTACAAGAACTCCTCCTTAACAATGTTAAATCTCACTTATAATAAACTTGGGTCCGAAGTAGGAAAAGCATTAGCTGATGCACTTTGCAAGAACTCCTCATTAACAACTTTAAATCTCACTTATAATAAACTCGGATCCGAAGTAGGAAAAGCATTAGCTGATGCACTTTGCAAGAACACCTCCTTAACAACGTTAAATCTCACTTATAATGAACTTGGATCCGAAGGAGGAAAAGCATTAGCTGATGCACTTTGCAAGAATAACTCCTTAACAACGTTATATCTCAAAAATAATAATCTTGGATCAGAAGGTGGAAAAGCATTAGCTGATGCACTTTGCAAGAACACCTCCTTAACAACGTTATATCTCGAAAATAATAATTTTGGATCCGAAGCAGGAAAAGCATTAGCTGATGCACTTTGCAAGAACACATCCTTAGCAACGTTAGATCTCAATAGTAATGGGATTGGACCCGAAGCAGGAAAAGCATTAGCTGATGCACTTTGTAAGAACACCTCCTTAACAACGTTAAATCTCAAAAATAATGATCTTGGATCCGAAGCAGGAAAAGCATTAGCTGATGCACTTTTAAAAACTCCTCCTTAACAACGTTAGATCTCAAAAATAATAATCTGGATCCGAAGCAGGAAAAGCATTAGCTGATGCACTTTGCAAGAACTCCTCCTTAACAACGTTAAATCTCACTTATAATAAACTTGAATTCGAAGGAGGAAAAGCATTAGCTGATGCACTTTGC